TTTGGTGGCCCTGGTTGTCCCCCCCCCCCCCCCCCGTAAACTTCAACTGCTTCTATCTTTGAAAAACTGCAGAGAAATTCCTGTTTGTTTAATAAGGATGCATGTACAGCTTGAAATAATGCCTTCCTAGGTGTAAGACAAAAGTTGACGTTTTCTTTAAAATACCAAGCTACTCCTTTAGATACGTTTGTGTTAAAGATTTGTCCCATTTACTTCACTGTTGTCCTGAGATCTTATGTGGATAGTTAGAGGACAACAGCAGTGTATTCATTCTGTATAAAACTGAAAACTTTGCAGTATTCCTGCTTTCATTTTAAGGAGTGCTTGGGAAAATTTTTTAATCCCCAATGCTATTACATAAATACACTTAATCACAGGAGTCTAAAGAACTTAGTCTCTGCTGCTTTATACTAAGTCTGTGATCTTTCAACCCCTCAAATCGAGTTGTTAATGGATCTATTAATACCTGAACACTGCAGAGACCAGGGTATGGCAAGCTTCTTGAAAAGAAAGACTTCCAACATTTTGGTTTGCTGGTATCAAAATTTATCCTTACTGGAGAATCGTATTCTTGGACATTAAACCAAATCTATAAGAAAGCAAGTTTGTTTTAACTTTCAGCATATAATCACAGCTATGGAACACATTCTACTCACATGGCAGTGAAATACTATACAATCTTGACCAGTCTTGGGCTCTACTTCTTTATAGACATTCAATTTGGTCTGTGTTTGAACCTAGTCTGAAGCATGCAAGCATTGTAGGCTTCTTGTTCAAAACAACCTTTAACTACTGTTAAGGCTGCAAAATGTACCAACAATAAATATGTAAATATACTAATTAATATGTAACCTTTTGTAACTGACAGTTCTGTGTACAGCCTATCTGACACAACATAGCTGTTTTTTTTTTTCACTGGTTGGATATGAAGTGGTATTGCTCTGCTGGCAGCACACCTGCTGAGTCATACGTAGATGGGTGTAAGTTGCCTTGAAAGAAAGATGTTGAGCTCTGTAGTTCAAGGTTAGCTGATGAGGTTGTCAGTGCTGAAGTCCTTAGTTGCTTCTTCCAGCAATTAACAATTAAGTTCTATTTTTCTTAACTCTAGGTTTAGTATTATTTAAAAAAACCACAAACGCCCCCAACCACTCCCCAGAACAATTTCAATAAAAGTCAGAACTGACACTTTTAAAATAAATATGCTTTAGAATATTAAATTCTCAGCCAAAGTCATGATTTGTGTTTAGAATAAAACCTCAGAAGATTAAAAAACAACACAACTTACAACACATGACACTTCAAACAACTTCTCCAGGTATGTTTTCAATACAGAAAATAAGAGCAAATGTTTGCTATATTTTGGTGCACAATGGAAGTCTGACTCACTGTTTCCTTATAGTGTTTCCAAAAAACTGAGGGGCAAACTTAAACTCAACTTCCAATTTTCATTCAAATAAAACACAGGGTTCTTTTTTTAAACTCGCCTTCTGTTTCCTCAGTTTCAGACTTTCACACATCTCTCTACCTCACCATCATGTCCTTGTTTGTGTCCCCAGAAGCTGTGAGGGTTGGCTTCTAGCCAAGGAGGGGAATGCTCCTGGTAGGAAACTGCCCAGGGTTTCGGTCTGTCCTGACACAGGCTCAGCTCTGCCCCATTCTGTGGCCTTGAGTTCACCTGCCCTGAGCCGCGCAGCTCTTGGGATGTCTTCTCTCTCTTCTCCCCCACTGTTCTCAGAGGGTTTCCAGCCACACAATGAATAACATATTGTGAACACGCACAGTGTTACTTGTATTTTATAGCAAATAAACAGAAGGACTGGACACCAGGCAGAAAATCAATTCTGTTTTTGTGCCTTGTAGTGCCAGCTCTGTGTTTTGCGCATTGACCCATTCAGGGCTGTACCCACCATTATGTGTGCAACTCATGCAACTCCTTCCAATATGCTTTATTTTACATTTTTCAGTTACATTTCACCTGCAAAGTATTTGCTTTGCTACATTGCTACTCCTCAGCTAACCAGTGGTAAACTTAGGCTATCCATGTTGGGAAACATGTAAGTAAAACCCAGTAATGAAAATTATATCAACAGATGTCATGATTCACCTAAATGCTGATTAAAATAAATCTTTCTTATTTTAACTAAGTATTTAAAAGTAGCTGAAAAACCTAGATTGAATAAAATCACTAGTAACATGACAGCCTAAGTACAATTACACTGATGAACAAATGATGCATAAGGTCAAGAAAAATATCAACTCTTATGTGTACAGAAATGTGACAAGACTGGGTACACTTACATTATCACAGCTGATTAGACAGTACACATTTTGTAAGGGGCAGAAAGTATCATACTGCCCATAAAAACATCCAGTACTGGGATTCCAAATTACACACTGACTTTGTTCCAAAGTTAATACATATGCAGTTGGTCCCTAGGAAGAAAAAAAAAAGTATGAGAAATGTTTTAAAACTGGCTACAAAGACAGTATGCTTTGTATTGTTTGGAATATTAAATTTTTACTATTGAGATTAATAGTACTTTTTTGGGAAAAGTGGCTGGAAGAATTTACAGGTTTATTACAATTCAACCAGGTAACACTTACCTAATAATGCGTTCTCCGTCTCTTAGGTAGCAAAGAAATGCTAGACATACACACCCCCAAGCCTTCTTAAACTACAAGTTCTGAAAGTCATCTTGGTTCAGCTATGAACTGATGTGAAATTCCATATACAGGACTGTTTAACATGCCACTTCAATATCAGCATGTCCTACTCAGCTGCTGCCACACCTGTCATCCATGGACAACCTCCTGAGTCGGACTGCCTCCTCGGCAGCACACTTTGTGTCTCATCCATCAGCCTCCCCTCATACAGGCACATAAGGAATTTCCCAGCTCTCTTTTTTATATTCTCTGTCAGGAATCCCTTAACTGCTCTTCTATTTTCTTGTTATCATCTCCCACATTTCCCAGGTACCTGACACTACCTGGAATAATCCCCCTCCTTAGAGCACACATAAGCTGAATGCTTTATTAAGAACTACCATCTCCATCAGATTTTGAGTGGAAGGAATGTACCTGAGTACCTGTTCCTGCCACTGCGGTATCTCAGAATGTGCTGAAGAAACTAGTTTGGCCAGGGATTTTTACCAAAATTCTGTTCAGCAAAACTTTCACATGTGCTTGGCAATTTGAGATACTAATGATGGAAATTTGCATTATAAACAGTCTAACCATCTCTTTGAGAGGAGCAGTATTGGTTACTTGGAAATCTGAGTGTTTCCTTGAGAACAAATGCATCTCCTAAGTGGCAAAAGAATCTAAATGTTTTAGTTCTTAACCAGTCTAAGCCAGATGGCTGCCACAGTGGCCTCACAGCAATGAGAGAGTACACACAGTCCAAGGCAAAGCAGACTGCCTAACCCGCCTGTATTACAGAAGGCAGATGAAGATTGACTTGGTGAGCCTGAACAACTCTATTATTACTCTTGCTGCAGCGTTGCCATCAGCTGGAGAGAGAATCCAGGGATGTGTACGTACCAGTAAGAATCCCTAGCAAGCCCCTATCCCTCTCCTGACACTTCTCAGTCTTTACCCCGTCTCACCCAAACTCTGTCTGTGTATTCACACTGTGAATGGACTGTCTCCATTACCTTTGTCCTGGACACACCATTTATACAAGCTGAAGTCCAATCAAGGTTTACAGATGCTTGGTAGTGTACTATGAGGTCAACAGCTACTATCAGATTAAGTGTGGAAACATGGGTCCAGAAAAAAAAAAAAAAAGATGATATTTATACCAAGATATACTTTCTTTTTTTTTTTTTTTTTCCTCTCTGAAAAAAAGCAGTTCCAGCAGCTCCAACATTTAGATAACTTCCTGGAAAGACATGCCAGCAAGAAACAATTCTATCCATTGGTGGGCATCAAAGACTTCACAGAATAAAAAGTTAATATTCAGACCAAATGAAAAAATCCTCTTACCTCAGGAATAGCATTTCCAATGATAAGCCAGGCTTTTTTTCCCATACCAAGAAAATAATTACACAGGAGCACAGCGTGTTCTTCCTCATCTCCCGCCAGAAGATAAAGAAATTGCTAATTGAGGTACCAAAAAAAAAAAGTATCTATGCAGTTATCATGCTTTCAAATTAATAATATTTCTTAATATTATCCAAAATAGTATTAAATATCAACATTTAATAATATTTCTTAACACTTCTGAAGGAAGAGAGTCCTCTCAGATCTTTCAAACTGATCTTATATTGTTTATTGGGCACTGCTTCAACGTGCAGGATGAAGAGTGGATGGCATGAAAAACCATGATGCAGATTTGAGATTTTACCACAAGAAAATGTGGTAAATGTGTCTTTGTCTTTTGAGTTATTCTGAATTTTGCAGAAAAGTTCTGAGATGGTAAAAACATCATCTATCATTAAGTTAATGTCTGCTGTTATTCTACAGATGACAGGATTTATTTGTATGTGACAAGAGAAGGCTAAATATCCCATTATTGCTGACATTACATGCAATGTTTCTTCTGTAGTTCCTTGGAACTACAACGATCAATTTTAAGTCTAATTTTAAAGTCTCCATCAGTAAGCATCCTTTCAGTGGTGCATGACTAGCCATTTTTATAACTGAAAAAGAACCAGGAAAAGCTTAGAGTCCTAAGCATTTTTAGGGTCAATCAGTTGCAACCGATCAAAGATAAAATTTTGGCTCGTATCAGGATGAGCAACTTTTCTCAAGCTTTGATCCTCATTCTTTGAAATAAACAGCTCATAAAGAAAAATAGTCCTCAATATAACAGAATCGCAGAATAATTTAAGTCTGAAGGGACCTCAAGAGCTCATGTAGTACAATCTCCCCCTGAAAGCAGGGGCTGCTAGGGTGTTACATCACATTCAACAGGATACAAAACTTCTGTTTAATGCATTACTTACATCTGATGTACTCCATAAATCACAAATTCCAGCAAATGACACACTATCTGGCAAAAAAGGAATCAAAGCAACATATCGAGCCACCAGTTCCTGCAGGAAAACAAAACAGAGCAAGTCACCCCTTCAATGCAAGACACGGATATCTAACAATAGTATTATTATACCACATGTGAAGCATAGTGCCGTTTCCACAGGTATCAGTGACAAAACACTGACTAAGCTCATAACAGTAGCAGCTAGCTCATTTTAGACTTTATATCAAAGACTGATACGACTTACTCCCATTGAAGTTTAGCATAATTCTTTATCTTTTAAAGGACAACACTCATTAATGTACCTATTTTTTTCCAGAGAAGACAAATATCCTTTTCCAGCATCATTATAGATAGACTTTCTGTGTATCACACATAGTCATTACTACTTTATTTTGTGTATCTCTAGTTTTTCCTTTACAAAAAGCACAGCTATACAGCAGACATATAAAAATGCTATGTGCCTATGTGCACATGTGAACACACACATTCTGAAATCTGTATTCCAGAAACTTCACTCTCTTTTCTAAGTACTTACTGCTGCTGTTTGAGAACTATTTGGGATGGCATCAAGAAGCTCCTGTGGTGGATTCAGAGGTTTGATGTATCTGGTAATAAAAACTGTTTTCCCATTCAGGTCAATTACAGTTGTTAGGCATTGGCGGCTTGGAAACTTTGATGTACATTCAGCTTCATACTTTGCTGCTGCCTGGAGCAATTTCTCATCTTCTTGGGTATCAAACTTCAAAAGACAGTACAATTTATACAAAAATAGTTTTATTTATAGTTTGGGCTTAAGTCTTTACTATATTCGGCCTTATTTCATCATTTACAGGAGCATAAAAGGAGTGTAAAATTCTTTCCTAACAGCATTTTGAACTTTCCTTGTAGTATGTACTTTGTCTCACAGACATACAAGAAAGGTCAAGGTAATGGAAAATCAGGCAATTTGCATTTACTTAGGAATGCACATAATGACCTGTACGTGCAATGGTGGCTTTATTAAAGCACTAAAAAATGTAGTGAAACTTACAGCCAAGTAAAACTGCAGGGAAGAGTATGTAACACCACATATTAATTCAAAGGTAAACAACTATGGTTAGATACTAAGCCTACATGCTATTCACATAACACCCCATTAAAACCACAATTGAGGTTATGCACAAAATCCCAGTAATTTTAATATAAGTAATACTGCGACAACCCTGCGCAATGCCAAAATATTTGCAGAGAATGTTGAAGTAATTTTTAGATGCAATCTTATAATTCAGACTTGTCTAAAATTTTAACGCTTTTAGATGAGATTTTCCAGAAGCAAATCTAGGACTCAAAAGCACATATTAATTATATAACAATTATTGGCCCATATGTCACCTGAGATGTCATCTTTTAAAGGTATTAGGATCAGTCAAAATATTTTTTTGCCATCTACTTAGAATCCCTTGTATATTTCTAGTGGTGCTGAGAATTAAAACTCATCCTTCATAATATTTTTGTTCAAAATAAACCACTTTTTGTCATTTATTACCCTTCTTCTCAAACTAACCAGAGGTGGAACAGCTGGGCACTGCCCTGTAGCTAGATCTCCAAGTCAACAGAGAAGGCACACAGTGGTGATTCTTCTCAACCATGATTAACAGCCAAAATGTACAGCCTCCGGCACTTTGTAAATTTAAATGTAGTAATTCACTGCAAATATTACTGACAAATAAACAACTACTATGTCAGAGTCAAGCAACACAAAGTGCAGAAGGATTCCTGAATGGCACAAAACCAAGCTAAATCTTAAAGAGGGAAAAACAGGAATCTCTCAACTGATTTAATTTATTAATATTGTACCTTCTTAAGCATTTCGTTCATCTATATAGAGATTCAGGAAGGACAGCAAGAAAGTGAGGGAAAATAGGTAAAGGAACAAAAAAAGGTACTATAAAATTAAACTAAAATTAAGCTTAGCATCCTAAACCAGTACACAAGTATTTCAAATGACTTAAC